ACACCCCTATCACCAGGAGGGAGGACGGATCCATCAAACTACTGGCTTACAGGAAAGCCACACACACAGACCAGTACCTGTCCTTTCAATCGCATCATCCGTTTCAGCACAAACTTAATTGCTGTCATACGGACGTTATTGGAAAGGAGTGACAGCATTGTAAATCCTCCATACATGTGGTTACCCGGAAAGGGCGATAAAGAGGGTGAAAGAGCAAATGAACAGGAAGAAAACTATTAGAAAAGATAAATCCAAGAACGAAAAAGCACAAGAAAAATCAAGGGGAGTGGTGACTGTCCCATATGTCCACTCATTCACAGACAAAATACAACATATACTCACTAAACACAGGGTAGTCACAGAGGTTAAGCCTCAAACCACCCTCAGACAGGTTTTAGCTCACCGGAAGGACAAAGTTAATAAGCAAAAAAAAAAAAGCTGGAGTGGTGTATAAAATTCCATGCAACCAATGTGAAAAAGTATACATCGGTGAAACAGGGAGACAGCTGGGAACCAGGATCACAGAACACAAAAAGGAAGCAGAAAAGATCTCTGACAAGAATTTCACAAGATTCACCGGCAGGGCTTCTACCAATGAGCACCATAAATCAGCCATAAAAGACCACGTCTGTCAAAACAATCATATTATGAATTGGGAAGCAAGTGAAATAGGTGAGCAGGAAAGCAACAAATTTAAGAGATGGATCAAGGAAAGCATATGTATTAGATCGAACACTCCTACTATGAACAGGGACGAGGGAGCCTATCAGCTTTCTCCCATATGGACACAAGTGATCTCCACCCTCCAAGCAGGGAGGTGGCGTCTACAGAGTGATTTTGCGCGTTTAAGCCCTATTTAATTGAGGCTTCTGACACCTTTGACGATTTTTAAGTTGTGGTAAAGATGGCTGAAAGTCATCGAAACTGTCAGCATCATTAAGACTTTTCTTGGCTATGTTTCTAGAACATTTAAATAGAATTGTTATAACCGCTTAGTTTAGGTGTGACTAGTACTTGATCAACCTGATCAAGGCGTCGTTGGACTATTACCTTTGGCTTATGTTAAAATACCAATTGCTCATTCGTGAATTTGACATTTCTTAATATTTTTACCAGGTGTCACACATTGAGAGGTCATTGAGCTGGGTTGATTTCCTGATTCATTCCTGTCACTGGTCTTACTTTAAATACTGACAGGATTTGACCTCTGATGCAGAGTTTCCGCATTCTCCTTGACGTCTTTTAGAGGGTTATAATTTTTTATTGCGGCTAGATAACCGTAAAATAAAGGTTTACGTTTCTTTAGATTTCTCTGAAAAGCCTGGATCGGAAGACTATAAGATTTTATGTCCGTGAATGCGATAAATCTCTGCTCAGTTTTGTCATCCCACAATAAACTCACTTGGCTTCGCCGCGACCAAAATCCTCGCTAAAGGAAATCAAAATTATATTCCTGTTTCTGCAAACAGTTTGTCCCGAACAGTAAAAAATATGATTAGACTATTGTCCTCACAAAGTTTGCTTTCTTAGACCGAGCCATGATTTCCTTCATGGCTACCAAGGCCAGGGTGAAATACATCTGTAACTCCGCATGGAAAGTACTAGAAACTCCGGAAGGAGTGCTGAAAGGGTTCATAACTTTTCATATCAGTATGTTTTTGTTACGTAATATGGTTGACCACTCTCGTCTCTCGGATACATGCCATGCATAAATTTCCTGAAAAGAAGCCTCGCGTGAAGTGACCCAAAATTTGCACCATGATTGGGTAATTCGCGGATTAAAACATTTCCAAAAGCGCCTGATGAATGCCGGGGGTTGGGGGTTGTCTGGAATCGAGTTTACATGATCGCGCCAGTTAACAAAATTGGTCGAGTGAGACTGAGTACCAATTTTCTTTCGAAACAAATATGACGGAGGATGCAGACATGAAAGGACGATGAGTTTTTGCTCGGTTTTAAGTTTTCCCGCGCCCAAAAACATCAAGAAAATGTTTTCATGAACTTTTTCAATGGACATTTTGGACATCAGGAGGCGTGATATATGGACAGTTCATGGGTGACTTTACTTTATACCGTGATTCGGCATCTCGGCAAGTTCAGCTTTAATACTCCTGTAATAAGCAGGACGTGAATTTCCGAGCTACTCCGTCTTCCTAGATATATGCTACGAGCACACTATGTTGGTATAAGACTTGCAACAGTCATATGTCTGAATGTTTATTAAAATAATTTTCTACTTCGTTGTAATTCGTTTCGTACGTTTGTTTGAACACCACACCAAATACTTATGGGCGTAAATACAAACTAAAGGGCTAATTTAGTAAAAGCCACTGGGTTGATGTTCCAATCATTTTACTTCACATATACCGAGAATTGGAAGTAATAACTGCTAAAGGCACTAAACAAACTACATGGTTGGAACAAAACGCACAGCAAAACGTGATAGAAGAAATAATGAGAAGTTCTAGGTTTGCCCGGGATCCGAATCCTTTCCTTTGCGATGACTTTATCCAACCCTCCATCCAGTAGCTCCGCTTAATATGCAAATTTATGTCAGACGAGCAAATTTCTCCACTAAAGCTCGTTTTGAAATTATATAGTTGCGAAGTTTCTATATGTGCGCTAACAAGGGAGTAGTTTTGAGAGTAACATATGGACAACGAGTACAAAACCAAAGAACTTTGTCTACAGAACGAAGCACGATGGAGAAATCGTTTTACTGACTTAAAGATGCCTTAGGGCTAATTCTGGGCATGCATAAAGTAGGTTTACTGAACGCAGCATCACTTTGGACTCTCCGTTGGAGACATGTCTGAAATATTCTAATATGTAATGTGACAAAACAAATAAATAAATAAATTCCTCGCTACTTAGTGACTCTCCCCCCCCCCCCGGTTTAGCATCTACTATACACCAAACGACAAACGAAAAAAAAGGAGCCATTGGATAGCCGTTGCGGGTAATCTAGAAAAGTGGGATGGAATGTTAAACGCTGATTCATTCTAACTGACTGTCTCTTAACAAGAACAACACCATGCTTTAATTAAACACTTTTAAAGTTGAAGATTGTACAGCTAGCAAAGCAATCCAAAGCAACTCTTTGGTGTTTAGAAGTCCATCTCACAGTATCACAAGCTATTTTGCCAAATAGAAAAGAATTCTCAGTTTATATTAAAAAGAAGAACGCACCTAATACATTTGAGTGTCAATGTATTTTGCACAAAAGTGCTAATTGAGGACACAATTACGTCTCCTACCGGTCGACCTCCAATTTACGTAATTTATCTGATTCGAGCCAGGCGACGGTCTACACTACCTACGGATTAACTTAAGATAGAAATCTAATTTTTGGTTATAATCATCCCTGATCCTAGAACTCTCGTTTGTTCCCGCTAGTACTAGAATTCGGATAACGTCACTGGTTATTACTGCGCTTTACACAAACATGCGAATTCTGAAGTTCAAAAGCCGCCTTCACTGCTGCGTTTTTCGCTGCTGTCAATCATCTTAACGGACCTCTTAGGAAACAAAACTTTACTTAAACAGGTTCAAAAGGTCATGGTTTGTGATTTGTGATTGGTGGATTTCGATCCATTTTGTGTGTTTGTGTGTTTCAAGGTTCGTTGCTTGTGATCGTAATTATGATTGACGGCAGCGAAAAACGCAATTGTGAAGGCGGCTTTTGAACTTTAGAGTTCGCATGTTTGTGAAAAGTGCAGTAATGACCGACTGAATTACTGCGATTCACTGAAGTGAACTAGGGCCGCGTTATTTTTCAGTATATTACATCCTTATATTTCAGTGTTTCATTTCCGCAGTTGAGCTGCCAAAGCCTTCTCTCATATATATTTTTTTGTCCAATTTGGCGGATCGAGACCGTCAAGGTTTATGAGCGTAGCTTATTTAAGTTTCCCTAGGAAGCCAAAAAAGAAAAAGAAAATGGAGCAAACTGGCTTGAAAGCACGACACAACGCAAAATGTGTTTATGTTAATAATAGGCAAGTCGCTGCAATTTCAGGTACAGCTCAGTTCAGAATGTTGGAAAGTTTTGAACTCGTTAAAAAATGTGCGTGAACAAAGTGCGAAGAAAGTATCATTCTCCATATCTCCACGCAAATTAAAACCAAAAAGCTTATTTCTACAGCCGAAATAACTGTCTTGCAAATCCCTAACCAATGGAAACCCGGCAAGCGGACGCCATGAGAACACTGATGGAATTAGACAAGAGAACGCCTTAGTTAAAAATTTATTTTCTTTTTTCTTTACCTCACTTTCTTACCTTTCCCTGCCTATCTACGCGCCAATTAAAGCAAACTTTCGTTTATTAAATCACTCATGAAAAACTGAATATGGCAATAGACCTTCTCACGGCTTTCGACGCCATCTTGACGAGTAGGCAAACGAGTGAGAAATTACAGTGTTTTTAGAACAATCCTTTGCTTAGTAGTTTTAGTTTACAACTGATATTTTTTTCAGAACAGCCGTTTTACGGAAAATATTCGACAATCTAATGAAGACTTTACTCACTAGAGAGATGCCAAATTTCATCTTGATTTAGATTTTTCCAAACAAACACTTTTTGATGCCCCAAGGTAGGGAACGATTCAAGAAGGAAAAGTGGTGTAGTAGTCCTCTGCTGACTGTTATACACTCAATACACGGAGGGTAACTCCTAATCGTATCTGCGATTACCCAGCTGTACCGAACTTTTGAATTTTCATAGCATAGTTATGATCGGACATTATTATCGGACATTAGTTGTGATAGTTACAGGGTATTTGCAGCCGTCCATTTCCAAGACTTGTTCCCATTACATTGTTCAAAAATATCTGCTGCCAGGCGTACGAAACAAGTTTTATTAATTCTCACGTCAAGTAACATTTGTTACAAGCTACAAAAAGTTACGTATGAATTACTTCGTTCGAGTTACGTTTAAATCACGTTTTACTGTTGGATAGGTGGACAAAGTGCTTTAAAGAGCAGCTAGATGCGCCAAGTGTTCATTTTTTTCCTTTATAGCGACGTCGGGAGGAGATTCGTCGGCGTGGATAATATCGGCGTCGATAGGAGATTCGTCGGCGTGGATAATATCGGCGTCGATAGGAGATTCGTCGGCGTGGATAGTATCGGCGTCGATAGGAGATTCGTCGGCGTGGATAATATCTGCGTCGATAGGAGATGCGTCGGCGTGGATAATATCGGCGTCGGTAGGAGATTCGTCGACGTGGATAATATCGTCGGCGATTGCCGGGGCGCCAAGGTAAAGCCTTCGGATCTGCTGCTGGGCTGCCTGCTGTCATGGAAACACTGAAAACAAAAGACATTCGTTAGTTATTTACAACGATTTGAATATTTTTTCACTTATCAAACAGAATGTGTGCAAGTCAGCGCTGGGACGTTTAAATTTGTTGAAATGGTCGTGACTTACACTTGCTAACATATTTCAGTTTTTGAATATGGTTTACCTTTCTGGATTCTCTAACTCTGCATTGTCGTTTTCATCGTCATCTTGAGAAACAGGGTTTGGACTGAAAGGAAAGGAATAGATTGTTAGTCATAAGCAACAATCAGGACTGTAGCGATTAAAAAATTGGAGCGCGTAAATTTTTGAAAAATAAAATTTTTTAATAGCACTATCCTTCGATTTTTTCCAAGGAGGTACCAAGAAAGAATGAAAGACGGGCGATCAAAGGTCTAAAGTTGTAGAAAGTAACTTAATAACGACTTCACTATCCGATCCCGAGGTTGGTGGCAATTCATACCGGCGGAAATATGTCATTTGTTTCTGCTCGGCTTTTGGTTTTGTAGTGCAGGGAGTGACGAAGCTTGGTGAAGAGAAACTGAGCATGTCTGATGTCATCATGTATCTGAGACAGAGAGATTTGAGTGATTTGTGCTGGTCTCAGTGGAGGATTCTGTTCGGCTCAGTGTGAAAATTAGTCCTTAGTCGAAAAGTAAGTAAGTAAGTAAAGTAAAAGCTTTATTAATGTGTCAATGTATTTAGTTTTCACAACTAATTGGGGAAACAAAAATAAAAATTATTTACAAATAAGAAATAATAATAATAATAATGTATATACAATTAAAATATGTAGCATGTATAAATTGTATAATAAAACAATTTATAAGGTATATAAAAGGTAGTCTCTAAGAATTGCAAAGGTTACAGCAGCGATTGTTGTTATGATGTGAAGTACATATGAAATAATTCATTTTTGAACTGCGGTTGTAGATGAAAGTGAAGAATGATCATCGCAGTAAATTTTCCAATTTAAGTAATTGGAAAGAAGAAGCCTGAAAAAATCAGGGTTTCAACGGGATTCGAACCCGTGACCTCCGCGTTACCGGTGCGTTGCTCTACCAACTCAGCTATGAAGCCACACATTGGGAGCGAGGTCAATTTATTGAGTTCATATCTCCCGTGAGGAGTGAAATGATGTGAAGTATATATGAAATAATTCATTTTTGAACTGCGGTTGTAGATGAAAGTGAAGGGCTTCAACGGGATTCGAACCCGTGACCTCCGCGTTACCGGTGCGTTGCTCTACCAACTGAGCTATGAAGCCACACATAGCTCACTTATTAAAATGTCTAAATTCGATTAAATGTCATGTCAACTTTCGGACTAAGCATAAACCAAGCCATGACTGTCGAGAAGGAAGCAGCTGAAGTGGAGGCGTTTAGCGTTTGAGCACCAACCGACAAACGGAAAAAGGTTTACAATCACAGAATCATCGAGATGTCTATCGGATAACCAATCTGGATAAAACAAGCTTAAAAGAAAATACCTCTGTCGCTTTTAAAATTTATACTTAGGAGAGTTGGTTAGTGCGCGGCCTTCTGTGCACAAGAGGTCCCGAGTTCGATTCCCGGGTGTGACCACAAATGCTTCCTGCTACTTCTTTCCTTTCCACGTAGTTTTAAGTAGCTTTAAATACCCGTAAAACGGAGAACTAATGGAGAAAGGAGGTTAAAAATGAGCGCACTATCGGCCTCAGATGTGTTAGTCAGATGACTATTTCGAGCTACCGACATAACATAAGGACTCCTTACCTTTACCTCTACTAGTTTTATATGAAGAACAGGCCCCGTACCGTGGCCTGGATTAGTTACCTTTCAGGATCATCCATTTCATCATCACCGTCTTCACTTTCGTCGTCTTCTTTATCAACTTCATCATTCTCAACGGTTTCCTTAGGGGCGCCTAATTCACTGTTATTTTCCTGGTTCTCAGGTGTTTCGAACGTTTCCTCCGACGCAACAGTTGTCATCAGAGCGCCAATGAAACAGGCAAGAAGGCCAATCGCTGCAAAGGACTTCATGGTGGCCTAGAGTTATACCTCAACAGCGAGGACAGCTATGCCCAACTGAGATGGAAAACTCAGAGTGAACTTTGGCGCAGGTAGCTTTTTAATTTATAGTTTCGTTACGCTGTCATTTGTGTGTGGGGTGTGCTATTTTTGGTTTTTCCTCAATGCCTCAAATGTAAGTAAAAATTACTGTAACAATACCGGTGCAACCCAATATTGCGCTGTAAGTCCAATAACAAATAAAATGCTTCGAAAAATGGCGAGAATCACGAAATTCAGATTACCTTAGTTTAGCTAAAAATCGTTATTTCTAGTGCGGAGAGTCAGGGAACTCAGTATATAGTGATGGGTTTTGTTGTCAAACCTTCATGAATTTGATTTTATTGCAGAAACGCTTTGCTATTAAGTATAACCACGCCTTCCAGCAGATTTAAAGGCAGCTATCAGATACCGTCGATCCAAAATAACCTTCAAGCCACAAATATTTTAAAAGCTGATAGTCAAAAGAGTGATAATTACTTTACCCGTGAAGTGGATAGTAGACCACTGAATTTCATTGCACTCTATTTTTTTTAATTGTTTTCTTTTGTTTACTTGTAACCATTTGGCACTTATTGTTAGATACTGTTTCTTGGGTCAAAGTAATATCACTTTAAGAATAAATCTTATATTTTGTGCAGACTGTTTCCCCAATGAAATGAACTCTAAACCATCTTTAAATAATTCACATACATTAGGTTCTACCCAATACAGGAAGAGAAAATTCAAAAACAGTGTATGGACAAATATTATTAAGTATACATAACTAACTTTCGACAAGTTTTTCTTAACTTAGTGAGTGTGCACTGATAGCCATATTTCAAAGTAGCAAATCATGTAGCAAGGCTTGTGCTTCTTTACATCAAGGAATACAAAATAAAAGAGCGAGAAAGCAATAGTAAAAGAAATGTTATAAATTGCACCACAGATAGTCTTATTTTATATCCAGCATTTTCTTGGTTTTTTGTAATTCATTTCTCAATTGTTTGGGTTAACTGGAGATGACATATCTTCAAGGCCTCCTCAGTATTCCTAACCCAAACCTCCCCAGCTCCAGCCCAACAACAGGCTAATTTTATAAGTTTTTCCTAGGAGCGGTTTTTCTTGTGCTCCAACTTTGCTGAACTCAACATCAAACACTTGTAGTTTTTTTTTTTTTTTGAGGTTAGCAAGTAATATTTGAGACAAATAAACGTCATTCTCGTAGCCATATTTACGCCAGACTACCTGTACATCCCAAACGGGGTGGGAGGGGACTCCGCATACGAAAGGGGTGGGGATGCTCGTCGGAAATTTTGAATTAAACCCTTAAAGGAGACAGATCTGGGCGTGGCCCGAGCTTTTTTTTTGACCCCTAAAAGAGATCATGTTAAAACACAGACAATATATAAATATTTTATATTTTTTCGCCTGCAACCCTAAACGAGACCTTGACGGCAAAATATGATGACGTTTTGCCCATAACACCCAAAGTGAGACCAAAATCCGAAATTTACACCCCTCAGCGAGACGACGAGCATCCCCACCCCTTTCATATGGCTATGCCTAGTCCCCCCCGGGCTGTACAAGACAAGAGAAGACAAGACAATGTTTTATTTGGAGTCTTATACAGTCCTATGTATATCGACTTTATCCAGAAAATTTAAAATCATAACGCAAATTGCACACTAGTGGAACTATTACCAATGTTAACGTAAACAACTAATGATCTTCTTTTCTCATAGCAGTCGAATACGTATTTTGCAATTAACTTTTGCACTGGTTTGTTCTTGCTCGGAGGGTTTATTAACAACAGAAAAACATCATCTGGTGCCATTATGTTTACTGATATTCTGTATTCTTTGTTTAAGCATTCAAATAAAGTACTTCTTTTTTCTTGATACACAGGGCACAGAGTTAAAAAGTGTATTTCGTCTTCTACGTCTTTTTTACAGACAGATCCTCTCTTCCGGTTTCTTATAAGGTCTTACATGTTCTTAATCTTGCTTCAGCAAACGAGTGCAACGAGAGCGATTCCCAGCCCATCCTAAGAGCGAAAATAGGACGAGACAAAATAACTACACTACATTTGCCATTTGCAAAAAATATCATGCTGTGATAGGTTTTGAAATTTGTCACAATTTCGAGAGCAGATTAGTGAGTTCGAAATTGTTGCGGAGTTACAGTCCTAAATTTGTTAGCGGAGACTGGGAGCAATATCGAACCGTGTATTGTAAAAGTATAGAGACGGCGGAAGAGAAGCTTCATATTTAATAGTTGCGCGTGGAATTACTTTTTATTTGTTATGTAAACTTAAGTAGTCGCCAAATTGAAACACGTACACACTGGCGTATGTAAGTGTTTTCCTACTGAAATGATAACTCTAACTTTCCAAAACTTGATCAACAAGTGGTCCAAGTGAGGAAGTTGGTATCGATATAAATACAGTATCATGCCACAAAATTCAATATACTACTTATTAATATCACTAACTGCTACCGCTTCAATATCACAATATAGTTCGTTTACCCTGATTAAACTGCCGAAGAGTCAGTATAGGGAGCGCTTAGTGACGATATTATGAGCGCGATATTACCAAACAAAAATCCACGTCATGGTCTGCAATACATGACCAATTTACCATTCAGTATTAATGCTAACAGCCAGTTTTTCCCCTGAAATCATTTAGATTTTTCAGATGTTTAGGGACTTGACTTTAATTCTACATTTCCTTACAGGGCACTAAATTTCAGTGAACAGTGGATTTCTATAGATACTTTTACATTTATACTTAAAACTCAATCGGTGAACTTCGTGTCTAAAGTAATCTGATTGGATCGCAATCTCATGCTAACCAGCGATACCCACTACTTATAATTGTTGGATAATGAAAGATCCTGAAGACAGAAACGAACAAAACTGGCTTTTGCAAACTCGGTGTTCTCCCAAATTTCGAACTACAAAATGTTGACAACAGAGACAATCCTGGCCTCGTTATTTTTCAAGGTAAAGCAATTTATAAATTGTTCAAAAAAATGTTTTGGTTCTAATAATTCTTAGTTTCGAAGGATGATAATTACAAATAGTGCAGTTTGTCCAAGCCTCAGCTGGACTAAAAGCTACTTTGTAACCATGCAGAGTTCTTCAGCAATGTGAACTTTGCCCTGCAAAGATAATTTATAATGGAAAAAAACTAAGAAAGCTGTTGTTACATGTCAGAGCCAAGTAAAAAAATCAACGGAGATTATCTGAATAATGCAATACTTAGCTTCATCAGCCGAGCATTTATTACAAACCTCTTTCTCAAACCAGTGTCGTATCTCGCCAACGCTGATATTTATTGTACTTATAATTAATTACTGAGTTAGGGCGGGACGAAAAAATATTTCGACGAGGTCAAGATTGCGAGGAAGTCAATCATCGCTATCATACGCTTTAATTTCAATATGGTCAATCATGCTTATTAACTGGGCTGCCCGGCTCAATGCACGCCTAGTTCATAATTGGTTTCGAAATTTTTCGGTGTCCTGCGTTAAAAAATGAACATTTTTAATTATTAACCCAATAACTCAGAGGGCGTTGCGTGATCCATAACGCATGTTTGTCCATCTTCGCAGAGTCTGTTTTAAGATTGATTTCTTTCTGAATAATGGAAACACATGCCTTTCTGGAGTTCTAAATTTCGGATTATGAAAAAGAATACTCGTCTGATGAAAACAGGAACTTTGAGAATCGCGCACAAGTTCATCTTATAGCCTCATTGGCGAGAGGGCAAATGAGCCGCGAATTTTCGAAAACGCAAATCTTCACCGGGAGCTTCAAAAACCAACTTGAGAGAAATAGAGTACTAAGGCAAGTTTCTTACTGGTACAATAGTTGTTCCTTTTGACTAGCTTGTAATTTTGTCGAGAAAACCTGGCAGCGGGAGACTTCAGACACTTTGAGTGCACTAACATCTGACAGCGCATCAGTAGCAAAATAAATTTTTAGAACGGGAGGTTAAGAATTAGAAAGCCAGGTATTTTAACTCTTAAATCCTTCTTAAAAGGGAGGACATTAAATAAAGTTTAAATTGGGGCTCGTGCGGACGACTTCTTATACCTCCCCACTAGCCCCCAACCCCTTCCGACCCTCTAACCCATTTACAAATTTCACAATATCCTCTTATTCTGTCACTTTCTCCGAGAGTGTAGAATTTGTGGAGAAATTCTCAGTACTCCTCTTAGAAATACCTTGCGAATTTTACTTAACTCTTGAAACAAATATTATCATCTAATGTCAGGAGCCCAAGACCTCGCTAATCTAGAGCAAAGTAAACAAAAGAAGACAATGGAATGTCAGTAATGCATAATGGCGTGTAGTAGGTCTTATTCCTTTTTCACGTATTTAATAAAAATTACTCTTACAAATCAACTCTGTTGAGATACCAACTACCTCAAATTTACAAAAAGCGGTAATTTACTAATAAAAATCCATGCCATGGCATCCCATATAACCAGTACTAATATCACGAATCTACAGCAACAGAAACCAAGGTATAAATAGTGGACTTCCGCATTTTACGTTGGCAGTTAGAAATAGTGATCATCTAACTAACTGGTGAGGCTGACAGATTGTTTATCTATTACCCTCCGTTCTCCATCAGTGCTCCGTTTTACGCGAATTTAAAGCTTCTTGGTGAACGGAAAAAAGTCGCCGAAAGAATTTGAGGTCAAACATGTGAATCGAACTTGGAACCTCTCGCACAGAAGGCCACACACCAGCCATGCATCTGTGCCAGTTCCTACTATGTTCCTTACAGCCAAAGACAACTTATTGTACTCTCATTAAATCGTCCAAAACTCAGTTCTGGGAATGTACAGCACGGTAATACCAAATAGAATCGACGTAAAGGCATCCAAAATATTTATTACCAATATCACTAATTTGCCACTCACCAAATCGCATAAAAATTAACTGAAACTATGTTGTCTATTTTATCTCATAATGAAATG